CGCGGAGCTGCTGGGGCTGCTGTTGCTGCTCGCGGTGCTGCTGGTGCTGCTGCTGCTGCTGCTCGCGGTGCTGCTGGTGCTGCTGCTGCTGCTGCTCGCAGTGCTGCTGCTGCTGCTGCTGCTGCAGCTCGCGGTGCTGCTGGTGCTGCTGCTGCAGCTGCTCGCGGTGCTGCTGCTGCTGCAGCTGCTCGCGGTGCTGCTGGTGCTGCTGCTGCAGCTCGCGGTGCTGCTGGTGCTGCTGCTGCAGCTCGCGGTGCTGCTGGTGCTGCTGTTGCTGCTGCTGCAACTCTCGTTGCTGCTGCTGCTGCAGCTCGCGGTGCTGCTGCTGCTGCTGCTGTTTCCTTTCCTGTTTGTCGCTGCAGATCTGTTGACAGCCACTGCTGCTCACTACCAAAGAGAAGGCGCCAAAGAGATTGCAAGTCTTAGAGAGGTGCAATTTATTTGCTGCTGCTGCTGCAGTTGTTGCTTCTGTTGCTGCTGCTGCTGCAGCTGTTGCTTCTGTTGCTGCTGCTGCTGCTGCAGCTGTTGCTTCTGTTGCTGCTGCTGCTGCTGCAGTCGTTGTTTCTGCTGCTGCTGCAGCTGCCCAACCTTTTCGTCGACGCCAGGGCTGCGTTTGCTGCCCTCTCTGCGGCCTTCCTTCGCCCACTTGCTGCTGCTGCTGCTGCTGCTGCTGCTGCTGCTGCTGCTGCTGCTGCTGCTGCTTCTGTGCCCGCAGCTGCTGGCAGCAGCAAAGAAGGCGGAGGCCCTCAGCCGGGAGGCCTGGGGCCTTTACCTGCAGCGCGTTTCTTCTTCTTCTGAAGTAAATTTGCTCTTTAAATTCTTTTTATTTCATTTTTATTTTTATTTTCTTTTTCTTTTTTATTTCTTATTTTCTCTTTTTGCTGCTCTTTCTATTCTTTCTTTGCATTTTTGCTTCCTGTTTATCTTTTTTCATTTCCTCTGTTGCGCGGACCCTGCCTAGCTAGCTAGCTAGCTAGCTAGCTAGCCGGCCGGTGGCTAGCTAGCTGGTGGCTAGCTGGCTACCTGATGGCTAGCCAGCTAGCTAGCTTCTGTCTACTTGAATGGGTGGCTGGCTAGCTAGCCAGCTAGCTAGCTAGCTAGCTAGCTAGGTTGCAAGAGAGCCCTTCCCCCAGTTAGTTAGCGAGCTAGCTAGCTAGATGGCTACGTAGCAAGAGAGCTAGCCAAGCCAGCTGGCCATTTAGCTAGCTAGCCAGCTAGCCAGCAAGCTAGCTAGCCAGCAAGCTAGCTAGCCAGCTAGCTAGCCAGCTAGCTAGCTAGCCAGCCAGCTAGCTAGCCAGCTGAGTTTGTGTTTGTGTGTGCAGCCTTCGGCCTTTGGGCGGCAGCAGCTTTACAAGCGGCGGCTCAGCTGCTGCTGGCTGAGCGAAAACAAATACAGAGCAGCAGTAAAAACTTTTGAAGTTTTTTGTTTTTTTTTTGCTTCTTTTTGATTTAATTTTTCTCCTTTTTATCTTCTTTTGCTTCTTTGTTTCATTGGCTTTTATTTGCTGCTTTTTCGGCTCTTCAGTTTGCCCATTTGCTGCTGTTGTGCCTTCACGCAGCAGCAGCAGCAGCAGCAGCAGCAGCAGCAGCAGCACAGCCAGCAACACAGCCAGCAGCAGCAGCAGTGCAGACAACAACACGAGCAGCAGCAGCAGCAGCAGCAGCAGCAGCAGCAGCAGCAGCAGCAGCAGCAGCAGCAGCAGCAGCAGCAGTCTTGTTCGTGCGTCTCAGACCCAACGAGCTTCTGCTGCTGCTCGCCGTTTGCTGATTTGCTGCCTCCACTGTCTTTCTGGATTTTACAAACTCAATTGTAAGTTTTTAATTTTCTTTTTTCTTTTTTTATTTTTATTTATTTTTATTTCTTTTATCCTTTTTTCTTCTTTTGCTTCTTCTTTTCTGCAGCATTTGCTTCCTTTTGCGTCCCTCTGCCTTCTTTCCCTTCTCCTCTGTTCCTGCTGCCTTTGCTGCTGCTGCTGCTGCTGCTGCTGCTGCTGCTGCTGCTGCAGTCCCCGCGCAGCTGCTTCCCTGCCCCTCCCGCCCAACTGCGCCGCTGCTGCTACTGCTACTGCTACTGCCGCCGCTACTGCTGCTGCTGCTACTGCTGCTACTGCTGCTACTGCTGCTGCTGCTGCTGCTGCTGCTGCTGCTGCTGCTGCTGCTGCGTGCAGCCTGGCGTTTGCGGGCGCTGCGTCAGATATTTGGGGTTTTGGTGCTGAAGGCCTACAGCCACTGCGCTGCCACCATGCAAACCCTAGAAAGGCTATCGGAGACACTTGGTTTGCTGCTGCTGCTGCTGCTGCTGCTGCTGCTGTTTGTGCTGCTGCTGCTGTCAGTGCTGCCGCTGCTGCTGCCGTAGCTGCTGCTCGTGCCCGCTGCTTCTCCTGCGAGTGTCAGCCGTCTGCTAGGGGTCGGCAGCGCACTTTCAGTGACCCATGTGCTGCTGCTGCTGCTGCTGCTGCTGCTGCTGCTGCTGCTGCAGGTCTTTCCCTGCCGGGATTAAGTGAGGGGAGCTTAGGAGCAGCAACAGCATCCGTTCAGTGCTTGTCTCTGTTGGAGCGTCTGCAGCTGTCTGCTGCTGCTGCTGCTGCTGCCCCTCCTGTGCTGCCTGCGGCCTCCACATCTGCTTCGGAGCTAGAGCAGCAGCAGCAGCAGCAGCAGCAGCAGCAGCAGCAGCCAGCCAGCCGCCGGAAAGGCAAGGGAACTTTTTGCTGCTTAACAGATGAGCCCGGGGCCCCACAGCCCCCCAGCAGCACGGGGTGTACGTACACTGACCCTTGGCAGCCTTCTGAGGAGCCAGCGGGAGGTGCGGAAACGCCGCCGCCGCAGCAGCAGCAGCAGCAGCAGCAGCAGCAGCAGCAGCAGCAGCAGGCTGTCTTCTGCGACAGCAGCAAACTCAGGGCTTTGTGGGAGCTGCTCAAAGGCGAAGGTCCGCCCCACATATGCAGCAGGCCGACAACAGGCCCTTGGCCCAACACCCTAAACCCTAAACCCTAAACCCTAAACTCTAAACCCTAAACCCTTGAAGTGAATATCAAGCAGTTGCCCTTTTGTTCTTTGGGGCATCTGCCAGTCTGCACCTCAGTTCGTTCTATCGATATATTGGCTTGTCCTCAGGGTCTAGCCTTAGGGTTTAGGGTTTAGGGTTTAGGGTTTAGGGTTTAGGGTTTAGGGTTTAGGGTTTAGGGTTTGGGGTGTGGGGCGCGGGCGTCTGCAGGGTTGCTGCAGAGCTGCTCGCCGGGCGTGGTGCCTGCGCCCTACCGCTGCAGCAGCTTAGCAGCAGCAGCAGCAGCACTGCAGCGGGAGGGTTTGCCTCCGCCGAGCCGTTTGCTGCTGCTGCAGGGAGCAGCACAGAAGCAAATGGGAACTCTTGCTGCGCTGCTGCCGCGCTGGGCAGCAGGAACTTTGTGTCTCTCTTCTTCCAGATTGCTGCACTTCTTTCCCCAGGGCGAACGCGAAAACCCTCTCCGTTCCATCTCCGTTGCAGGCGCGGAGGTTAGGGTTTAGGGTTTAGGGTTTAGGGTTTAGGGTTTAGGGTTTGGGGTTTAGGGTTTAGGGTTTAGGGTTTGGGGTTTGGGGTTTAGGGTTTAGGGTTTGGGGTTCGGGGTGCGTAGGCAGGGGAGGCTGTTGCGGGAGAGGCGCTTCCTACGCCGTTGCTGGCGCTCAGCCTGCACGGCCCTAGGGTTTAGGGTTTAGGGTTTAGGGTTTAGGGTTTAGGGTTTAGTGGTGAAGGTTGGTGGCCTCGTGTTATTAGGTGAAAAGGATCGGCGGCGGCGACGTGGGAAAGATGGGTATTCAAATAACCGTAAGCCCCTCTTCAATTTCGGCTGTGCTGGGGTTTAGGGTTTAGGGTTTAGGGTTTAGGGTTTAGGGTTTAGGGTTTGTTCAGGAGAAGAGGAGGAGGGGGCTCCTGCCCAAGTCTACTGTTGTATTTCGCTTTAAGGGAGTTCGAGAATGCGACCAGTGGCTGGCAGCACTGCAGGTAAAAGGGGATTTTCTTTTTCTTTATTTCCGTCGTGCTAGGGTTTAGGGTTTAGGGTTTAGGGTTTAGGGTTTAGGGTTTGGAGCTCCGGCGCTGCCTTTGCCGGGGTGTTTCTGTCGCGTGCTGTCTTCAATTCCTCGTTGGCCGGCGATTCCACTCCTCGCCGCCCTGCTGCGCAATCTAGGGTTTAGGGTTTAGGGTTTAGGGTTTAGGGTTTAGGGTTTTGTGGTTGCAGATGGCGGCGGACGACAGGGCATTTCTCTGCGCAGTCAATGGGGACTTCAGCGCCTCTTTAGAGGGCCCCTCAGATGCATGCGTTTCTTCTCCCCAGAGCTTTGGGGCCCTGCTGCCAGCTTCATCTGCTGCTGCTGCTGCTGCTGCGCAGCAGCAGCAGCAGCAGCAAGAAGAAGCAGTGGAGGGGCGGCCCTCGGGCAGCATGGATGAAGTCTCT